CCAAGCAGCAGTAAGAGATGGGAGAAGCAGCAGGGACGGTGACTATAGAGGGCCCCTGGGAAGGCACATGGGCATTTTATTTAATAATTGTCAGCTGAATCCAAGGCGACAGGCAGAGCCACGTCCTGGATACACATCTTACCAAAAAGGCAGAAGTGTTCTCAGCTTGACTTTCATCTTTGCCCAGGTGCCTGGGAGTGGGTTTCATTATGTAAATCCAGCCAAGCACCAGGAATGAATAGGAATTGGCCTGCTCAGAACTGACGTTACTTCCTGGTATTGGGGATATAAAATAAACATGCGGTTTCAGTGCTGGCCACGTCCTGGATACACATCTTACCAAAAAGGCAGAAGTGTTCTCAGCTTGACTTTCATCTTTGCCCAGGTGCCTGGGAGTGGGTTTCATTATGTAAATCCAGCCAAGCACCAGGAATGAATAGGAATTGGCCTGCTCAGAACTGACGTTACTTCCTGGTATTGGGGATATAAAATAAACATGCGGTTTCAGTGCTGGGTCCCTGTCCCTGTCTCCCCTTCAGAAGAGGACAGCGGTCCCACCCAGTCCCAGCTTTTTTTCCCATCTTTGTGTTCTGTCTCATTCTTTCATATTCTTAAATCCCCAGCCTCTTCTACTCTAAGAACCGGACCACTCTCTCCGCGCTGGACGCGGAAAAGAGAGACCGCGCCAGGTGACAAGCAGAGGACAGCAGACATTTACCTGACACTGGAGCTGCCCAGTTGCTGCCCAGTGAGTAATGAGCATTTTACAACAAGCAATACAAGACTTAGGCCTTTGGCTTGCTGGCTACAGCAGTTAAAACAGCAGCCAGTGACTGCTACTAGCCTTCCTGCAGCCCAGGAATGGAGCAGGGAGCCCTGGACCTGTGAAAGCAGCAGATGGAGCTAGTGAAAGCTCCCTGTTTGCAGATGAGCTGAAAGGGTTCAGGACTACAGCAGGAGCTGCCAGTACCTGCTGCTGGGAGAGGAGGGGCAGATGTCCCTTCCAGTGCACCCCCGGGAGAGGCCTGGTCGCTGCTCTGCCACAAAGGGGACAGGTGGGAAGGCGGGGGCCTGACGCCCAGGTTGCAGCCTCCAGAGTGCTTTGCAATATGCAAAGTTGTTTCCAGCTTCAGCCCTGGCTGTTTGGGGCTGGCAGCTAAGAGCCAAATGACAGCAAGAAACAAGGATGGCAAGGCCCTGTAACTGGTACACAGGGGTCACAGAAGAGGGCGGAGGGAAGACACTCTCCCTGGACAGGAGAGCCTTCAGGATTTTTAGACTCGCCCAGAGGGAGGAGTCTGACTGAGGCACTGGCCAAAACCCCAGTTGGGAGGACTAGAGGCTGCAGGATGAACTTGCTAATGTGGACTGAAGTTTGGTGGGCAGATGTGCGAGCCCAGTTGTGTGGGGGTTAAGCTACCTGTGGCAGCAAACAACTCTCTCCTGTGCCAGAGTGCATTTTAGGGAGATGGGACAGACTGTTGTGGCTAGAGAGGAGAAGGCCCGGCCACCACGCACAAGCCCTGACTGTGGCTTGCTGAGAACTGTTTAATGGACTTGGCTTGGTTGGAAGCATGGGACTTGGTTGGAATGTCTGTAAGGAGGATTCTCCAAAAGGTTGTAGGAAGTAATTACAGAAGAAATCCAGTGTCCTCTTTCCCTAAAAGAGTTCAGAGCCAAGATCCTTGAGGGGATATAGTAGGCAGTTAGACAGACATGAACAGAGCAAGGATGATAGGCCTAGAAAGATAGACTCTGAGACATACTTCTCACCACTCCAACTGCTCTGAAGATAGGAATAAAGAAACCTGTGTAGAACTAACCTTTAATCATAACTAATTAGAAGCAATTTATAGTTTTCATGTAATAGAAGGTATAGAAATAAAGGAAAAAGAAAGTGAAGTAGACAAACTAAAAGGGTATGTGTAGTTATAAAAGGGTATATGTAAGTAACAGAAGGTATATATAAATTGCAGAAGATATGTGTAAATTGTAAAAGGTATGTATAAGTTACAAAGCATCTGAACAAGTAAAGAAAAGCTAAAGTTAAGGAATTAAAAATTATAAAAAATAATATAAAGAAATAAATATAACAGAAAAAAAGAAAATTAGAGTAGAAATATTTTATGAAAGTTATAAGAATGCTTATTATAAACGTTATAAGAATATTTATAAAAATCATAGAAAATTTATAAAAAATCTTAAAAAGAATTATAAGTATACTGAATAATAAATCTAATAAATAAAACACCTGAGTTAATCTGAAAAGTAATTATATTATTTTAAATCTTAGAACACATATACTTATATGTGAATAGGGGGTTAAGTTTTTCTTAAAGTTTTCTTTTCAAGACCTGTGTGAAGTAATTAGGGAGATAACTAAGCTGTGAATCCAGCAAACAGAACCGATAAGCATGGTCAGACCGACCCCCGGGAATCAACATCATCTCGTCAACATCATCTCATTGCCTGGCAATAGCTGATGTCTACAGACCTCAGGCCTGCACATAGCTACATCCCTCACCCTAGCTCATTCCCCTTTATAATCCTGTCCCCTACACCTTGCTAGAAGGCAAGATTTAATGCTTATAAGTACGCTGTCTTCTTAATTAGACTAACCATTACTGTCATAATTCTCTTTGTTTTTCTTACAGTCTACAAAATCAGAAGTCGAGCAGTGAAGGAGCTTCACAGACCCTGACCTTCCAAAGCAGAAAGTTCGCCAGCTCCCTCTGTCTTCTACAGCCAGCAAAACAAAAAGTGGGGGGAGATGTGGGGAAGCACGGGACTTGGTTGGAATGTCTGTAAGGAGGATTCTCCAAAAGGTTGGGGGCCTCTGAGGGGACCTTGCTGAAGGCAGCATGTTGTCTTTTCCAAACAAGTCTGATCCCCGAGGTGTTTTGCTAGAATCTCTATGTTTAGTCTTATGCGACCTTGTTGAAGCATATATTTTCTCAAGAAAGCTTACCTTGCTGATTGTATCTAGAGCTTAATTTTAGTTCAAGCTGTGATGACAATAAAAGCCAAAGGAGGCAGGCGAACAGGGCTACTTGGTGGCGATAGCCAAGCAGTGCCTTAGCCCCTCTTCCCCAGAAACGTGTGTTGGAGTCATCACCCAAACGTCGCTCAGGGTCTACCTATCAGCCCCAGCATTGGCTGATGCCTGCGTCTTCATGGACATGACTCCAGAGAGACAAGGACCATGTTGCTTTGTGTGGGAAGGTCGACAGTGGACTTTAGTCACCTCCCTGAGATGTTTGTATAGCCCTACCATGCGTCCTGGTTGATAGCACGAGATTTGGCCATCTGGGGCGGCCACGGTGCCAATGTTATGTTTCATTGTGTTGATGATGTTGTCCTAACCTTCGATCCTCTTGCGGATTTGAACCAAGCTGCCCGCAGTTGTTCAGACCTATGTTGGTCTTTTAGGGAGTAACTGGCGAGTGTCCAGTTCCCCACTGAGGGACGTTGTTACGGCCGGTGAGTTAGCTTTCCCGGAAGGGGGCCACGTGGGGTTGAGCCCCAAAAGAAGAAAAGGGTGCCTGGCTGCTGAGAAGGCAGCCGCCCAGGTGGGCAGAGAAGGATACCCACCAGGTCTTGGTCCCAGTTATGAAGGGAAACTGGGAGCCAGTGCTCTCTTATTGAGGGACAGTCGGCAGCCGAGTGTGCTGCCTTGCAGGCCTGTGTGACCAGCCCACGTCAGGGGTGGCACGAACCCCACTTTGGGAAAGTGAGGGAGGCCTATTTGGAACAGAGGGAAGCGGTGAGTACCAGCCCTCTGTCATATGGGTGACAGACCCTGTGTGGCCTTATGAGACCCTGTGATGGGATAGAGATCATATGAGGGAGCTAGTCCCCTAGTCCATCCCGAGAGGGCGTGCCAGCACTCCCGGAGACCCTGTGTGCTTTAAGGACGGGTCAGGTTACTACAGGGACAGCTGTAACTGTCCGTTTGAGTACAGACGCACTGTGGTTTGATTCAGATACTGGGCAGAATAGCCCTTGGCCTTGGAATAGACAGCTGGGCTGTCTTTATGGGATGAACCGTGCGGTTACCACAATGCACAGGCACAGGCCATCACCCGTGTGGGGCAGGAAATGTGAGCTCCACCGAGGGGTGGACCCCCCTAGCCTAAAGGATTAGGCTGGACGTGTGTATACGGAAATGTATATCCTCAGCCTCTGTATGTGCAGGTAAAGCAACAGAGGAACTGTGTGACCCTAGCCTTCCCCCTAGGCAGTGAGGGAACGGGCAGTATAGACCTAGCCATGGGCTATGACTAGGGAAGGGCCCTGAACAACCTCCTATTCCCTTAGGGAAGCAGGTACGACTATAAGGAAGAGTCTCACCCCTTGAGCCTGCCCTGGCGATGCAACAGCACCTACCAGAGACAGGGAAGTGCAGGCCAGGTGGGATGAAACCCACAGTTTTGCTCTTAAGGCCAGAGTTCTGGTTATGGCATGTTACAGTCTATGTTGAACTCTGTGTTCAGGGAGCTGGCAATAGGCCAGGGTGCCCCCAAAAGGCCATCTGGTGTAAGGGGTGCTGTGTGGGAACCACACCAGAGACGTCTGGATGCCTGTCAGTCAAGGCCAGTGAAGTACAGTTGCCTTGTTGTTACTACACCTGTCGTCCAAGGCCACCTGAAAATGAGAATCTTAATCAGACTGAGATGCCATAAGCAGGTGCAATCAATCCTACATTATACTGTGTATGTGTGCCCTTCTGTAGCCAAACAACTGATGTAACTACTGTCATGAAGCCTTCTTTGTCTATGAAGCAATAGACTGGTTACTGACCAGCTAGTCTGCTAGAGAGAGCAGCTAGGAAGGGAAAAGGCTAGAGAGCTCAGACGGAGGTGAGAGGAACCCAGTGAAGAAGACATAAGGCTCAGAACTCATAGAGAGCTCAGGTATAGCTACCATGCTAACCAGGTAGTGTGTGCTGGGCAGGGGAGACAGGAGAAGCTGCTGAGCCAGAGCTCAGATACCACTATGATGTAAGGTGGTGATTTCAGAGTCAGCATGTGGCTGCTCAGATAATGACTGTGGGTGCAAGACTGATGCTGCTGTGTGGAAAAGAAATGTATTTACCAGCTGGTGTAGGGCTGCCTGATTGGGACACTGTTATGAAGGACTGTTTTGTCTGATGACTTATGGCCACTGGCTTCTGCAATAAAGACTCATTCTGATGCACCCACAACTTCTCATGGCTTCTCCATCTGCCCCCCCATCGAGAATTGAAACCTACTCAAATCACCTGTGCTCTTGTTGCTCTGACAGGAGGCTAAGAGCAAATTCCTTTTGACAATCTCATGTTCAAACTGCCTTGGTGAGGGTTGTCACAAGGTTTCTCTGAGCAGGAAGGTCTCCGTGGGACTGGGGCAGGGCTCTCATGCTGGTCACGTGGGCCCCCTTCCCATTTCTATGGAGCAGCTCTGTTTTGACCAGTTTGGGTTTCAACTGGGCATGGGGTTCTGGTGCTGGAAACACTCGATAATCTCCCATTTGGCTCAATGCCGTCTCTGACATTTGAGGAAACTGACTCCTGAAGCAGAGCACCCTGAGGTCCCAGGGAGCCTTAGAGACCCCGCCCACCAGCCCAGTCCCTGTCCCCAGGGTTGGCTGCCTCCCAGGAGATGAGAGGACATTTGAAGACATATGGGTGACACCTCCCATTTCTGATCTCCAATGGGAGAGGCCTATGCACCTGGAAACTTTCCCCCACGTCTTCCTCAGAAGATGGACAGACACGCTCTGCAGAGCGGCCAGGATGGCGTGCAGGGAGGAGAAGTTCCTTAGGCTTCTGCACTCCTGGGGAAGGGGAGACATGGGCTGTGAGGTGGGAGCTACAGCTGTAGCTTCAATCCCTCTTGATGGACACCCCCTCCTGGTGGGACAGATGCTCAGGGTGGGCACGTTTAGCACCCAAAGACCAACTCTCAGAGCGAGGAGGATCCCAGTTCAACCCAAGGAAGGAGCCAGGTAGGAAGTGAGTCTCCCAACACCGGGACATGGGAGTCAGGGTCCGCATGCCCCTGGCAGAGAGGACCTAGAGGCTGTGCTGGGGCTCCGACCTCAGGCCTCAGTCCTGAGAGCTGACCAAGCAGCAGAGGCATTTTTCAAGGCTCCGCATAGGGACGCTGCTGGGCCTCCCCTCACAGACCTTGGCCACCTTCATCCAGTGCGCCACCACGTTGGCCCTGTCCTGGGCCATCATGCTTGGGTCCCCAAGGCAGGTGGTGATCACACAGGTGGCCACATGATTGAACTGTCTGACGGTGGCACGGACAGTGGAGGCCACGTGCTCCTTGCCAGGCTTGGCCCTCTGGGACCAGACGGAGCCCAGGCACTGGTGGGGCAGCACCTTCTTGAACAGCTCCTGGGGAGAAAGGGGAGTGTCACCCAGCCCTGCCACACCCCAGCTCAGGGTCCCCAGTCCCCTGAAGGCGTCACTTGTCAAGACTGAAGCTCAGGAAGCTGGGGATGTGACTGAGCCTTGGAGTCCATGGGATTCACTCTCTGTCCACCGAGGGCACCCAGCACTGGATGACCCAGGGCCCAAGACTGGAGGGGAAGGGCCAGGAGCATCTGCCTCCAGCCCATCCTCACTAACTCCAAGCTCCAGGAAGTGGCTCAAGTCTGCTCACCCCAAGGGGGCATCTTCCAGCATCTGATCACCCCTCTGGTCTGAATCCCAACAAGCAATTTCAACAGTTCAACGGTCTTGCCTGCTCAGAACCTTGTCCAACTGTCAACTGTCAGATGCCACTGGGACCCACTTGGGGGACCTGCTCCTCTCCTGTCCTGCCCACACTACACAGACGGATGAATTTGCCTTTTGGATAAATTTCTCTTAGAGAAATGAAAGGACAGTGTACAACCATCCATGTAACAACTGTGGGCTCTCTGGGTTGCCATGAGGCCCACAGTATATACCACACCTTTCAAGTCATTAGACTATGGAGAGGTTTACCTACTATCACAGACCCATACCCACTGGCTCAATACTTCACATGATGTTCAGCTAATCCAAATTCCCTTTAAAAAATCACTGCTTGGCCTGGTCCCTTAATTAGAACCCACATTCACAAGGTTAAGTGCTCTCTGCCTCTAGGACAGAGGGAAACCCCTGGGTATAGATTGTATATTACTTGGTCCATAGCCTTTAGAACCTGAGGTCTAGCTTTCTTTAGTTACAGAATACATGTAGCTGACACCCAATTTGAGCTTGTTTTTCTTCTTTAAAAATGGTATTTTTTGTTGTTTTGTTTGCTTGTTGTCACCAGTCACTAGCCAATAGTAAGGTATTTTCGTGCTGCTCAGTAATGCACCATTTTGTTTTCCTTTTTTAACTTTTAACCCCCTTTATCCATTTTTACCGTCCCCCATCCGCCCGGCAGCCACTAGTCTGTCCTCTGCATCTATGAGGTTGTTTTGTTTTTTAATTCCACATATAAGCCAGATCATATGGTATTTGTCTTTCTCTGTCCAACTTAGCTCACTTAGCATCATACCTTGGAAGACCATCTGTGTTGTTGCAAATGTCCAGACTTCATTCTTTTTTATGACTGAATAATACCCTACTGTATATATGCACCACATCTTGTTTATTCAATGTCTACCAATGGACATTAGGTTGCTTCCACATCTATTGTAACTAATGTTGCAATAAACACAGAGGTACACATATCCTTTTGATTAGTGTTTTGGATTTCTACAAATAACCAGAAGTGAAATTGCTGGGTTATATGCTAGTTCTATTTTTAATTTTTTTAGGAACTTCCATACTTTTTTCCTTAGTGGCTGCACCAATTTACAATTCTATCAACAGTGCATAAGGGTTCCCTTTTCTCCACATCCTCACCAACACTTGTCAATTCTTGTCTTTTTGGTCACAGCCGGTCTGGCAGTGGGAGGTGATACTGTGTGGTTCTGATTTGCATTTCCCCCTTGATTAGTGAGGGTGAGCATCTTCTACAATTTAATTTTAAATGCTAGTGAATAAGCAGCACTATATGTAAAAGTGAAACCACTGCCATTCCCATTCCTCAAGGATTAAAATTCTATTACACTAAAAACATCAATTATTTCACTTGTAAATATAAGCTTTTAAAAAAAAGATACAGAGTCACCTAGATCACTTTGGAACCAGAGCCCAAAATGTCACCTATGCATATTCCCAAAGCAGCCTCAACTATCACCTCGATCCCACAAACCCTCACATCATCCTACACAACATCACCTCCTCACCATTTGTCTCTTTCTTGGCTTTACCTTTTGTTCAGAGAACCCAGCACATCCTGACTTCACGGTATGCATGTGCTGGCTGGTTTGACTCTTTCATGCAAACATGCCATCATGACAAGCTCTTTGGGTTGAGCACTGCGCTTCTAATGCCTGGCCTATAGGAGGCGCTCAATACATACCTGATAAAGGAGCCAGGGAATGAATTCCTCTTAACCCAACCTACAAATTTGATGAGATCCCAATCAAAATTCCAAGGGAATTTGATCCTATGATTCGAAATTCATACATACTAAAATTAAAAATATGTGTAGTTTTTGAAACAAATTTTATTTGCAGGAAAGATTCAACACGAATTGATTAATGTTCAGAGGTAACTATACACTGATGATCAACACAGAATTATTCAAAAAGTAGAAAACAAAATAATTTTAAGTTCATTAACTGCAGCCAAGTTATATAATTTATGACATAGTATTAGAAAAGATACCAGAAGATATTATTTTTCAGAAATAATTTTAATATTACTAGAATACATTTTCAAATATAAATATAACGTACAATGATTTAGAAATATGGATGTGTATATGTACATATACTGCCATCATATCTAACTAATACCATAAATTATTTATGTTAAAAAAAAACCTACTTTCTTTTTGAAAAGGAAAAAAGGTGGGGATAAAGAAGTGTGTCCAGTATAATTCACCTGGAAAGAGGAATGGGGTGGTTTTGCCTAAAAGTTGGCAGTTGTTTTAACTTTTTTCTGAACCAAATTGTACTTGTAAAAATAAATCCCAGGCCTACAATCAAATTGCATCATGGCAAGACACTGGATTCAGAAGTAGCTATACTCAACTAATTGTATCACAGAACATTAACTCTGACATAGAAATATCCCAGATATTTTCCCTCCTTCCTGCCCACACATGTTTTCTTGTTTCTTCATCAGACTATTCTGCTTTATTCATTTCTCAGCATAGTCTTAGGACGCTCACTTGCCTTGCTCTCTGCAGATGAGTTTATATTTATTTCTATTTCCACTCTATTCCACGTCCATTCTTGAAGCTTCTTGCTATTCTGTTTTCTTTATGTTTTTCTCCTCTTTTAAATGAAGTTCTAAACATAGTTGAAGAAAAAAAATTATTTTAATGTCATATAAAAAGTCACAACTTCCTAAATTGTTTCAGTTCTTATAGTTTTTTCTTGTTTGTTTTTCTTGTTTTCATTGCTGGAAATGTACACATATCCAGAAAAATGTATGGTATTTCTTGTGTTACCCTTAAAAAGAATATTTTGTATTTACTTACTTTACTAAACTTTTACCTAAGACTTAAGAGTTTCTGAAAAAGAGATTCTGTATCCAAACATGTTTTCCATGAGGACAAAACCCATAAAAATGAGATCATGTTAAGAATCATTTTCACTTCTAGTTTAACTCACTCAATCACTTTCTTTTGCTCAGAATAAACGTCTGAGTGTTCCGCTGGCCAACTAGGACCCAGGCTCCAGCTAGCAGGACAGGATGTAACTGCAGGACAGAGTGGCACTTGTGAGCTCCCAGGAGCCACACCTCAGGTGTCCCTCCCAGTGTCAGCAGCCCCAGAAGTTGCTACACAGCAAGGTCTGGGGAGGACCAAGGAGGCATGGACACAGGTTCTCTGGACAGACCTGCAGGGAGAGTCAACCCCTGCCATTACCCAACTCCTGCCCGGCCTCACCTCTCATTCTCGCTGAGCCGCTCCAGGGCCCAGAAGCAGGCCCCGAATTGCTCCTCGGGCTCTATTTTATATTCCTGGGCAGTCTCCTGAAGCAGCACTATTTCTTTTCTTATATTAAGATTCTGGGGCCAGAGGGAAGGAGAGGATGCAGACACAGCCCGAGTTAGTTGGGATGAGGACTGGGGCAGGGACCCGGTCCTGGGTCTTTGCACACAGGGCCACCCTCCTTCCCCCTAATTCCACCGAGGCCCTTCCTGTGCTCAGAGATGGGCATCGACAGCCCTTCCTCCAGGAGATTATCCTTGATGCCACTCCCTAACCCCAGCCACCAACTGGAGGGGCCTCCCACTTCTGTTATCAAACTCTCCCAATGAGTGGAAGATGCAGGGGATGGAGCCCAGGAGTGTGCTGGCCAGGGCTTCTCTGATTCTCACTCCCCTCCCCTGCCCCACAGGCTGTGCCACAGCTGCCAACCTTTTCCTTTCTTTCTATGTTGATCTGATTTCCCTAAAAGGCAGACAGCCAAAGTCCATCAGAAAGAGCCTCCTGGCCAGAACTAGCCCTCTATGCCCACCCTTCGCATGGTGAACAACTGCCAGGTCCCAGGAGGGGGTGGGAAGCAGGGAAAGACAGGACTAGAACCCAAGCCAGGCTCTGGGCTCCAGGGGAGGGGGGACGTGGGTCACTATGATGGGTAAGATGCCCCAGGTCCTAGGGGAGGCTGTGCTGAGAACTCAGGGCTCAGTACTGGGTCTCTCTGTCCCCAAAGGCCAATCCTGGTCACGCTAACTCAGGCCTCAGGTCACTCACCTCCAGATAATCCTCCATCCTGGTGTACAGCATCTTCAGGTCTTTCAGATATTTTCCCAGGAAGGGAACACACTGGACAAACAGGGTGAGGGTAGGATGAGCCCGTGCTCTCAGGTGCCCCACAGGCTCTCTCTTGAAAGCCTCCCACCCTCAGCCTCCTGGCCACCCCAGGTTCCCACGTGGATCAGCCCAGGACGTTTAGGGCCTCCACTCAATTGTCCCTTCCCTCACTCTCCAGGAACTCCTCTTGATCACCTCCTAGGACCTCCTTTTGCCAAACCACTAGGTCAGTGGTCCTGGGCCAGTCCCACCCCCATATCCATCCTGCACTCAGCTCCCCCAGGCCCTCCTCTTGGAAACTTCTAAGGGAGGGTTTCAGGTTCTGTGGGCACAGGCGGTGGGGCTGGAAGAGGAAGGCCTCCCTCTTTTGAATTGGAGGCCTCCAGCTGGGAGGACAGAGCTCCCCTCCTCTGACCCTGGAGTGGCCAACAGACAGGCTCCCTCATCTTCTGCATCCTCTTTTTAGATCCTCGATGGTAGAGCATCAGATTTGCAAACCTGGAGGGCTGCTTTCGCCAGGGTGGAGGGCAGGGTCATGGAGGTCATGCTCACCTCACCCCATTCCCCCGACCACCTCTGACCTCACACCCTGGCCCTCTGACCCAAGTCAGCTGGTACCAGTACCACCCCGACCCCAGCATGCTCTGATTCTGGTTGCCTCCCAGCTACAATGCACCCTCGGTGTTTGTGACCTTGAGCCTGGGCCTGGCCTCCTGACCGGTTCCCTCCTCTGGAAAGTGGGAGACCTCCACCGAGCTCACAGGTTCTCCTGAGGACTCAGTGTCATTCCTGTCATCATTGTTCTCACCTTCAGCCCTCCAGGTGGGAAAGGGCAGGGAGCTCTGCACAGTCCTTTTTGGCTCTGAACTCGTGACCACCCTGTGAGGCCTGCAGCAGGGGATGGTCACCCCTCCATGTCAATCATGAGGAGAGTGACAGGCAGGGAGTGCACTAGGGGTGCAGTGGGAAGTCAGAATGCACATCCCTCTGTCTCTGTTCCAGCCAGTGGGACCCAAGGCCAAACAGCCCTTATGTTCCCCTGGAATGTGGGAATTTCATTTGCTCTTCGGTTTCTATTGAGAAAGAAATGTATGGGAAATAATTGTTCAAACTCTCCAAGTCTTTATCCTAAGGCCTGAGCCTCAGAAGTACCCATCAATAGGCTGCAGAAGCAGCAACAGCAGGGTGGGGAAGGGCACTCTCCTTGTAAAGGACTAAAAATGGTACTTTTATTCTAAAGCCTTTGAAGGCCCAGCAGTTGCTGCAGTCCTGGGAACAACCCCCCGGGGCCTGCTATCTTCCCACACACACAGCACCTTTTCTCCAGCCTCCTGAGAGTTGTCACAGTTACGTTATCTCTTATACTTCTTAAGAATGTGAGTATATTTTCCACTGGAGAAATGAGCCTATATCTAAAAGGAAGGGGGGAAAAAGGTTTTTCCTCTATCAGCCTAGAAAGCAAAGGTTCTCTGGATTTATAGAAATACTGGCAAAAAAAAAGTCAGGAGAAAAAGAATTTAATTATCGGAATGAATGAACTAAAAATAATTACAGTTTTTGTAATTATTATTCTCATGGGAATGTGTTTGCTTGCATAAATCCAGTAAGATTATGATTTCTTCATAACAGGACATGAGTCAGTTTCTAATTGCGGTTTTATTACCCAAAACTTTACTGGAATGCCATGTCTGAGAGAGACATGCCAGACTCTGGATGTCACCAGAAACATCTAAAGCAGTGGTTCTCAACCTTCCTAATGCCGTGACCCTTTAATACAGTTCCTCATGTTGTGGTGACCCCCAATTTCATTGTTACAAATTGAACATAATTAAAGCATAGTGATTAATCACAAAACAATATGTAATTATATATGTGTTTTCCAATGGTCTTAGGCGACCCCTGTGAAAGGGTCGTTCGACCCCCAAAGGGGTCGCGACCCACAAGTTGAGAACCGCTGCTCTAAAGAATGAAGATTGACTTTGAAGCTGATAAGCCCCTTGGATAAATAGCCTGGTACCTTGTTTGGTCACATGGTTCATGGTCATCTTTCCAGGTAAGGAACGAAGGTTACTTTCCTGAGAGATGGCATGAAAAGAACCTCAAGACACCTGTGGGGACCTCAAAAACTTGAGGAATATACCCAAACCTATAGGTATTGTAGGCAAAGCCTCATGGCAACTGTGTGGCTTGGCTTCTTTGCCCTGGGTATAAACTTTCTCATGAGATTCCAGCAAAGCATTTTTTTAAAAAAAAAATATCCTATGTGATCAACTGTTATTCTTGTTGTCTTTATGCAAACAATCAGGCCAAATTATAACTAGACTTAATACAGTAAATAAATTGGTCTTCATTTGGCTCTTTAATAAAAATGAGAGTGATTTCAAAAAGAAAAATTGTGTTTCAACAGGAAATTATTAGAACGAATATGTTTTTTCTTCCACAGACCATTTGTCATCATTCTTGCTGTTCTAACTTTTGCCCAATAATACGACATTTTATAATACTATTTGTCTCCACTAGGTTGCAAGTCCTACTTGCACCTAGGGAATACCATCTCTAGGCACCATTGCCACCTCCTTCTGTGCCCAGGCCTCATCGTCCCTCTGACAGAGAGCAAGAATCTCTTGGCTCTGAGAGAAACCTTCGACCCTCCTCAGCAGGAAGTAGTTTCAGAAGAAATCCGACGTCCCCTTTCCCTGAAAGAATTCAGAGCTAAGATCCTTGAGGGGGGATGTGGTAGGCAGTTAGACAGACATAAGCAGAGCTAGAAGGATGGGCCAAGTGGAGGAGAAATCGATGGAACCCTGTGACATACTTCTGACCACTCTCACTGCTCTGAAGCTGGCAATGGAGGAACCTATGGAGAACTGAACTTTAATTCTATTTGGAAAGAATGTGTAGTTTTGGTGTAATAGAAGGCATAGGGTATAGAGATGCATTTTCAAGGCAAGAGAAAGTGGGTTCTAAAGCTGGTTGCTTCTGAAAGTTGTAAGATTTGTAAAGAAAGGTTTGTGAAAGTTGAAGAGAAATATTAAAAGGAAATTATAGGTATACTCAATAATTAATCAGATAAATGAATCTAAAGTAAACTCATACAGAACTTGTTTGGTTCTTTTCCAGTCATCAGACTTAAAAGGGGTAATCACCATGTAGCAGGGGTGAAATTACTGGCACTATAGTGATATAACGAATTTAAAAATAAAATTTAGTATAGTATAAGGTTAATAGATATCAAGCAATTTACCTATTCAGAGGGGAAAGAACTGACGGGGGGGGGGCTATAATCTGATAGATTGAGCACTGGAATTAATCTGAAAAGTAATCATTATTTTAAATCTTAGAACACATGTACTTATGTGAATAGCGAGTTAAGTTTCTCATATATGAATAAGGGGTTAAGTTTTTATTTAAGTTTCCTTTTCAAGGCCTGTGCAAAGTGATTGAGGAGGTGACTCAACTGTGAATCCAGCAAGCAGAACCCATAAGCAGGGTCAGACCAACCCACCAGGACTCAGGACATTATCTCAGCAACATCATCTCATCACCTGATAACCAAAGGACAATAGTTGACATTCACAGACCCCCAGGGCTGCCTCACCCGAGCCCCTTTTTCTGTATAATCCTGTCCCTTGTGCCTTGCTGGGGAGACAGGATTTGATGCTTGTAGGTGCCCTGTCTTCTTGGTTGGCTAGCCCATATAGACGAGTAATATGGTTGAACCCTTCCTTCATTATTGGACACAGCAACAGGCAGCCTGAGCCCAACCGGGGGTTTCCCGATAACGTAACCACATTGCCACACCGGCCAGGGAGAAATATTTTTCATATAAGTAGAACATATTATCAAACAGAAATATAACATGCTTTTAAATTGTGGAGTGTATATTTACATATGTTTAGAATATCTGAAAAGATATATAAAAGTATGTATAATTATTTTCAATTTAGTGTGTTGGTGATTTTCACTTATTTTAAACCTTTCTCTTTCCTACCTATAATCACGAATTATTTTTATAATGAAAAAACCTATTTTTATTTGGAAAAAAGAAAATGCAGACACTGCCTGAGTTGGGGAGAGGGGTAGGGCAGGGGCCTGGCTCTGGGATTGCACAAACGGGCATCCTTCTTCCCTCTAATTCCATCCAGGCATCACCTGTGCTCAGAGGTGGGCATCAGCGGCCTTTCTTCCAGGATGTTATCCATGATGCCATCCCCTACCGGCAGACACCCATTGGCGTGTTCTCCCACTTCTGTTATCAAGCTCTCCCAATAAATGGAAGATGCAGGGGATGGAGTGTGGTGGCCAGGGCTGTTCTGGTTGTCACTCCCCTCCCCCAAGTCCATCAGAAAGAGCCCCCTGGCCAGGACTAGCCCCCTATGCCCACCCTTCCCATGTTGCACTACCACCAGGTCCAGAAGAGGGCAGAAAACAGGGAAAGACAGGACTTGGATCTAGGTCAGGCTCTGGGCTGCAGAGGAAGGGGACAGATCACTTTGATGGACATGTTGCACCAGGTCCCAGGAGCGGCTATGCCAAGAACTGAGGGTTCCATACGGGGGCTCTGTGTCCCCAAAGGTCAATCTTGGTCACCCCAGGTCAGCCCTAAGTCACGCACCTCCAGATAGTCCTCCAACCTAGAGTCCAACATCTACAGGTCAGTCAGAAATTTGCCAAGGAAGGGAACACACTGGACAAACAAGGTGAGGGCAGGATGAGCCCCTGCCCTCAGGCGACCCACAGCCCTCCTGGAAAACCTCCCACCTTCAGCCTCCTGGCCACCCCAGGGTTCCCATGGGGAGCAGCCCAGAACCCTCAGGCAGTCCCCTCAATTGTGCCTTCCCTCACTCTCCAAGACTCCTCACAAGCACCCCCCAGGATCACAGGGTCAGTGGTCCCAGGCCAGCCCCAACCCCATATGCATCCTGCACCCACCTCTTCCAAGCTCTCCCCTTGTTCTCTTCTAAGGGAGGGTTTCAGGTTCTGTGGAAACAGGAGGCAGGGATGGAGGAGGAAGGCCTCTCTCTCTTGACTTGGAGGCCTCCAGCTGGGAGGACAGAGCTCCCTCTCCTCTGACACTGGAGTGTCCCTCCCAGGCAGGCTCCCTCACCTTCTTCCGCAGCCTCTTTTTGGATACTTGGATGTTCAGTATCAGAGTTCAAATCTGAGGACTGTTCACCCTTGAGTGGAGGACAGGGTCATTGAGGTCATGCTCACCTCTCCCCATTCCCCCCACCACACCTGACCCCATACCCTGGACATCTGACCCAAGTCAGCTGGTACCAGTCCCACCTCAACTCCAGCATGCTCTGATTCTGGACGACTCCCAGCTACAGCGCTCACTCGGTGTGTGCGACCTTAGGCCTGGGCCTGGCCTCCCTGACCCATTCTCACCTTGAAAAGTGGGAGACCTCCGCCTAGCTCACAGGTTCTCCTGAGGACTCAGTGTCACTACTGTCATCATTGTTCTCACCCTCAGCCCTTCAGGTGGGACAGGGCAGGGAGCTCTGCACAGTTCTTTCCTGCCCTGAACTCGTGACCACCCTGTGAGGCCTGCAGCACGGGATGGTCACCCCTACATGTCACTCTCCAGGAGATGGAGGACAACAGAGGGTCAGTTATGTTCTTAGACTGTTCCAGCCCTGCTGGCTGTGGTCACCATAGACCCCTAGGTCCCTCTCTCATCTGTGATGATTTCAGTATCTGCATCACTGGCACCCCTTCCCTCTATCTTAGTCATAATTCTTAGTTCAGTACCACGTAATGACCTTCCAACACTATAGATTCTAAGCCCTCAGACATCTTGTCCTCCATGCAGTGTGGGAGCAGCAGTGTGCTGGGGGCTGGGGTGTTGCTTATAGGAGAGCCAACTCAAATTCCTTAAATCTCAAGGGAAGCACAAGCAATTGTAGTTTCCTGGGCAACGCAGATGATGCCTGGGAGAGACCCATTCAGTGTGTGGGACCACGAACTGGGCAGACAGGTGGATGGCTCAGTTGCAGGTCAGGTGGCCCATTTAGAATTTGGAATTAAACACGGTGTGCACTGCCCTTGTATAACTCAGGGCCAGGTAAACAGGAATACCTGCTGCCTACAGTTTGTTACAGGAGGAGGACACACTGGAGCCACAGCAGTGAAGTAAGAATAGGCCCCACAGTGAAAGGCTAATTCATGGTAAGGGGTCCAGAGAGGCCAGGGGCTGCGTGCTTTGTCCTCCCTTCTGTGAAGAATGAGGCTGGATATACTTTCTCCCTCAGATCAGGAGCCACCAAGAGCACTTTGGAACCCGAGCCCAAACTAGGGGCTCAGCTGGGATGTTTACATTTTGCTGGTCATTTATGCATATTCCCAAAGCAGCCTCAACTATCACCTCGATCTAACAAACCTTCACATCATCCTACACAACATCACCTCCTCACCATTTCTCTCTTTCTCCGCTTTACCTTTTGTTCAGAGCACGCAGCACATCCTGACTTCACGTTATGCATGTGCTGGCTGGTTTGACTCTTTCGTGCAAACATGCCATCAAGACAAGCTCTTTGGTTGAGCACGTGCTTCTAGTGCCTGATCCATAGGAGGCACTCAATACATACCTGATAAAGGAGCCAGGGAGTGAATTCCTCTTAACCCAGTCTACAAATCTGAGGAGATCCCAATCAAAATTCCAAGGGAATTTGATCATATGATTCAAAATGCACACATACTAAAATTTAAAATGTGTATTTTTTGAAACAAATTTTATTTGCAGGAATTGATTCAAAATAAATGTTCAGAGGTACCTATACAACAATGATCATCAAAGAATTATTTATAAAGTAGAAAACAAAATCATTTTAAGTCCATTAACTACAGCCACATTATATAATTTATGATGAAGCAGGAGAAAGGATACTAGAAGATATTATTTTTCAGAAATAACTTTAATATTACTAAATACTTTACCAAACATAAACATAACAAAAATTACTTATAACTATGGTTAAGAGTATATTTACATGTATTATGAGAATATCTGAAAGGATAAATACAAATATTTGTACAGTTATTCTTAGTCTAAAAAAAAGAGATTATGATGAGAATAATTTCCACACCTGCAGTCAATCATTCATTGACTTGCTTTTATGAATTTTCCCCTGGCCACCTAGGACTGTGACTCCAGCTGGCAGGACCGGATGTAACTGCAGGACAGAGTGGCACCTGTGAGCTCCCAGGCCTCAGGTGTCCCTCCCAGTGTCAGGAGCCCCAGGAATTGCTACACAGCAAGGTCTGGGGGGGGGTGTCAAGGAGCCATGGACACAAGTTCTCTGGACCGACCAGCAGAAAGAGTCCACCCCTACCCTTGCCCAACTCCTGCCCAGCCTCACCTCTTATTCTTGCTGAGCTGCTCCAGGGCCCAGAACCAGGCCTGGAATTGCTCCTCAGGCTCTATTTTGTATTTCTGGGCAGCCTCCTGCAGAACCATTATCTCCTCCAGTACTTTATTCACCTGAGGCCAGAGGGAAGGAGAGGATGCAGACACTGCCCCAATTGGGGTGAGGAGTGGAGCAAGGGCTCTGTCCTGGGTCTTTGCACACAGGGGCACCCTCCTTCCCCCTAATGCCACCCAGGCCCTTCCTGTGCTCAAAGATGGGCATCAACAGCCCTTCCTCCAAGAGATTATCCTTGATTCCAGGCCCCTACCCCTAGCCACCAACTGGAGGGGTCTCCCACTTCTGTTATCAAACTCTCCCAGTGAGTGGAAGGTGCAGGGAATGGAGCCCAGGAGTGTGCTGGCCAGGGCGTCTATGATTCTCACTCCCCTCCCCTGCCCCACAGGCTGTGCCACAGCTGCTAACCTTTTCCTTTCTTTCTAAGTTGATCTGATTCCCCTGGAAGGCAGACAGCCAAAGTCTATCAGAAAGAGCCCCCTGGCTAGGACTAGCCCTCTATGCCCACCCTTCTCATGATGCACTACCACCAGGTCCCAGGTGGGATGGGAAACAGGGAAAGACAGGACTTGGATCAAGGCCAGGCTCTGGACTCAAAAGGAGGGGGTCACGGATGGCTATGATGGGCCTTTCGCTCCAGCTACAAGGGGAGGCTGTGCTGAGAACTCAGAGCTCAGTATGGGGGCTCTCTGTCCCTCAAGGTCAATCCTGGTCACTCCAGTTCAGGCCCCAGTTAACCCACCTCCAGATCATCCTCTATCCTGGTGTCCATCACCTTGAGATCTTTCAGGTATTTTCCCAGGAAGGGAACACACTGGGCAAACAGGGTGAGGGTGGGATGAGCCCCTGCTCTCAGGTGCCCCACAGGCCCTCTCCTGAAAGCCTCCCACCCTCAGCCTCCTGGCCACCCCAGGGTTCCCACGTGGAGCGGCCCAGGTCCCTTAGGGCCTCCACTCAATTGTCCCTTCCCTCACTCTCCAGGAACGCCTCTTGATCAGCTCCCAGGACCTCCTTTGGGCAAATCACTGGGTCAGCGGTCCTGGGCCAGAACCACCCCCATGTCCAGCCTGCACTCAGCTCCCCAAGGCCCTCCTCTTGGTCATTTCTAAGGGAGGATTTCAGGGTCTGTGGGCACAGGAGGTGGGGCTGGAGGTGGAAGACCTCCCTCTCTTGACTTGGAGGCCTCCAGCTGAGAGGACAGAACCCCCTCCTCTGACCCTAATCACCCCCAGACAGGCTCACTCACCTTCTTGTGCAACCTCTGCTTGGATCCAGGGACATAGAGCACCAGAGTGGCAAACCTGGAGGGCTGCTTCCACCAGGGTGGAGGACAGGGTCATTGAGGTCATGCTCACCTCACCCCATTCCCCCACCACCCCTGACCTCACACCCTGGACATCTGACCCAAGTCAGCTGGTACCAGTGCCACCCCGACTCCAGCATGCTCTGATTCTGGATGCCTCCCAGCTACAACGCTCACTCGGTGTGTGTGACCTTAGGCCTGGGCCTGGCTCCCTGACCCGTTCCCTCCTCTGGAAAGTGGGAGACCTCCACCGAGCTCACAGGTTCTCCTGAGGACTCAGTGTCATTCCTGTCATCATTGTTCTCACCCTCAGCCCTCCAGGTGGCACAGGGCAGGGAGCTCTGCACTGTCCTGAACTCCTGACCACCCTGGGAAGCCGGCAACATGGGATGGACACCCCTCCATGTCAATCACGAGGAGACTGACTGGCAGCGAGTGCTCTAGGGGCGCAGTGGGAAGTCTCAGGGAGACCACCCCTCTGTCTCTGGTCCAGCCAGTGGGACCTGAGGCCAAGCAGCCCTTTTGTTCCCCTGGCCTGTGGCAATCCCCATCCCTGGGACAGGCAGGAGGCACTCCCCTTGGAGGTGTGGAGAAGACACAAGTGGCAGCAGGGCCCTGGCATCCTGAGGACAGGCTGGGCTGGTTTGGGGAAGAAACCTCCCCCACCCACCCATTCACCCTACAGCCTGGAAAAAAGCGAAGTGCAATAGGGAGGGGCCAGCCTGGAAGCCAGAGACCCGCTCAATGTGCCAGCTCTGCACCCCGTCTTGGAACAGCCCGGCCACCACCCTGTGTGCCATGACCGGGGCCTCTTGCCCTTGAAACTGTCCCCACCCCTCCCCACCTGCCCATGGACCAAACAGACCCCTCTACCTGGCAATCGGGACCGAGAGGGTGAACATTTTCAGAGAATCTTCAAGTGACAAAATACCACAGCCGCATCCTGTGCAGTCCCACCTTCCTTCACACCCTCCTCTCTGCAGACTCCAGGCTCGCTCTACCTTGATGAGCTGTGCCCTGCTCAGTGAGTCGTCCCCCTCACAGTTTTTGAAATGTAACTGCCCACCTCCTGATGGGAGGGAAAGAGGAAAGACATGTTTAGGAAAGAAGGGGGAGATGGGTTAAGGGCAAATTCCTTTTGACAATGTCATGTTTCAAACTGCCCTGGTGAGGGTTTTCAAGGGGGTCCTCTGAGCAGGAAGGTCTCCGTGGGACTGGGGCAGGGCTCTCATGCTGGTCACGTGGGCCCCCTTCCCATTTCTATGGAGCAGCTCTGTTTTGACCAGTTTGGGTTTCAACTGGGCATACGGTTCAGGTGCTGAAAACACTTGAAAATCTCCCATTTGGCTCAATGCCGTCTCTGACATGGAAGGAAAATGACTCCTGAAGCAGAGCTAGTGGCCTGAGGTCCCAGGGAGCCTTAG